GGGGTGGGGGTGCACGGGGCATGCGCAGGTGAGGGGTTCTGTTCTGCCCGGACTTGATGTTGGAGGTGACATCAATCAGACCAACACCATGTATGGGTAACCACAGATCCTTTCCTGTGCCCCCCCTCCCCCCGGGCCTGCTTCACGCCGCCCCACCTTGGCCGCGAAGGACTCGAGCTCGTCCCGGTACACCGCCTCCACCTTGACACGCAGCTTGTTGGGCATAACCTGGGGGGGGGGGGTAGGGTGGGCGGACGGGTGGGAGGTAGCAGGGTGCAGGTGATACCAGGGTACAGCTGCGGGCGGCGTTGGGGATGTGCAGGTGGGGCGGGGGGCAGACGGCAGAATCCAGGGGGATGAGCGTTGATGTGTGAGTTGGCTGACGAGGTCGGGCTCATGATTTGAGTAGCTGTGTAGTTTGAGCAGATGTGGGCTCGCTTTGGCGAGGTCCGCGTTTCCAGCGGAACATGAACAGGCTGCCTTCTCCCTAGGTGCATGCCTCCCTGTCAGCCGCCGCACCTGCAGCACATCCCCAACCGACACCAGGCCAGCCTCGCTCTTGCCCATGATCATCGTGCCCATGTCCTGAGGGTGGGGGTCGGGTCGAGGGTGGACGGCTGATGTGGAGGGGAGGGGCTGCATGTTGGTCAAGCCTGGGGCGGCCTGATTATCGTCGGCAGAGCTCGGCACGGGCAGGGTGACGGCTCGTACACAGGGCGGTCCCAACCCCCTGCGGTGCCAGTGGTGGGCCCCCGACCTTGTACTTGTCGATGATGGGCATCCGGAAGGGCGCAGTGGGGGGCCTGGGGGACACAGGATAGCGAGGGTGCAGCGGGCGGCGTTGACGGCAGGCATTTGCAGCCACAAAAAGAGGTGCTAAGCAAACATATGAAAACACTGCCCCTTGCTGCGTGCAGCTGTCTACATGCTGGCGCCCCGCCACGCTGCTCCCGTTGGGGTGCATCCCCCCAGCTCTCCCATGCCGCACCTCTCAGCGATCTCAACAGAGTCCAGCGCCTCAAACAGGGTTGGGCCCTGGTACCAGGGGCACGCCTCCTTGCTGGCCCGGTTCTGGAGAGACCCAGGGATGAGGGGGAGGCCCGAGAGGTTGGGAGGCAGTGGCCGGGTCGGTCACGCGTTGTGGAGCAGCTAAAGCACGCCAGATCCAATGCTGCCCTGCGTTGCTGCGCGTGAATGATGCACGGACTACACATATGGCATCCGACGCCTGCGCCTGGGATGCGCCGTTGCCCTCCCCTCCGGGGGCCCCGCACCTTGACGTTCTGGCCGCTGAGTGCGCTGATGGGGATGAAGGTGAGGTCCTTCTTGGGGTTGTAGCCCGCTGTCTTCAGGAACGGCGTGAGGCCCTTCACGATGTCGTCGTACCTGGGGGAGCAGGGAGAGGACGGGAGGGGGGGGGGCGCTCGCATGATAATGCGCCGTTGGCAAGTGTGCCGCACACCAGCTTGTGCGCGATGTGTGCGTGTGTGTGTGTGTGTGTGTGTGTGTGTGTGTGTGTGCTGATGCGAATGCCGACGCGACTGCGCAAAGTGCCCCAGAGCAATTCGCCGTGTGCTGCAGACGGTGCATCTTCTCTCATCACCCTGAGGCTGGGTCCCTTTCCAGTGGGCCCCTGAGATACACCTCCCCCTCCCTTCAAAACCGTGCGCACCTCTCCTGGCTCCACTGCCCGCCCTCCAGCACCACGCTGCTGTCGTCCAGCTTGTTGACCACCACGATCAGCTTCACAACACCCAGGGTCTTGGCCAGCTGGGCGTGCTCACGCGTCTGTGCGGTGTTCGAAGCAAATGGCACGGGGTGCGAGGGTTGCGGATGGCAGGAATCGCAAAAGTGACAGCTGGCTCTAGCAACAGTGCCAGCACACGTCAGGTGGCGGCCATCACAGCAGTGCACCACTCGAAGACCTGCCAACTGCGCGCCCCGCTTGCGCCCTCTCCCCGCACCTGCCCGCCCTTCTCGAACCCGGTCTCGTACTCGCCCTTGCGGCTGCTGATCACCAGCACGGCCACATCAGCCTGGGACACGCGTAAGGAGGTGTGTGTGCGTGTGTGTGGAGGGGGGTGGAGAGAGAGCAGCAGGCCCGATCCTGCTGAAGCTCACGCCTCCATCCAACCGGCCCGCCAGGTTGTGGAATTGAGGATGTGTTGAATCAACAAGCTCAGCCGCCACCTGTCTGCTTGAGAGCCTCTCCCCGTGCCCCGCTCCTCCCGAACCCGCAACCCGGCCCTCTCGCCGCGTGCACCTGTGCCGCGCCCATGATCATGTTGGGGACGTAGTTCTTGTGGCCTGGGGCATCCAGAACAGTGTAGCGCCGCTTCTCAGTCTCAAACTTGGCGCGGCCCACCTGTGAGGCAAGGCGGCCGTACAGGTTGGGCGACGGCGCCTCCCCCGGCTGGCTGGAGACCCCAAAGCTGCGGTTCTGGCGGCCATCAGCCCCGCGCGAGGCTTGACCTGTCTCTGCATGATCGTTCCAACCACAGCTTCTGTGCAGCATCCTGGCTGCCACTTCTGCTGCTGCTGCTGCTGCTGCCCCACCGGCCTGCCCCGCCCCTCATGAGTGGCGTCGTCCCCTCCCGCCGCCCACCTCCACCGTGATGCCCTTGACCCTCTCCTCCTCGTTGGTGTCCATGATGTAGGCCATGTACCACGACTCGCGGTTCTTGTCCTTGGCCTCGCGCTCGTACTTCTCAATGGTGCGCTTGTCAACCTGCAGGAGGGGGGGCATGGGGGGCGACCAGGGTGTGCTGGGGGGGTGGGGGGTGAGGAGGTGATGCAACGGTCAGCTCAGCTCCTATGGAGCCTGCGGCCTGGCCAGTCCAAGGTGCCCAGTGCCCCATGCTCCCCAACTCAGATGTTCAACCAGCAGTTTCTGGCCCTGTCATGCTGTTGCAGCTTGGTGTGCCCTCCTTGTCCAACCGCCGGCATGAGCGCAGCTCGAACGAGAACAGCCGCCCTCCCCCAGCCCCCCAGCTGTCTCGCCTGGTCTGTGACAAACAGGATCTGCCCTCCTAGTGTGCTCTTGCCGGCGTCCACGTGGCCGATGAACACCACGTTGAGGTGATCACGGGGGTCCTGGGGCACAGTGCCCAGGCATGAGCAGCGTGAAGTGTGGGCGGGCGGCGGCGCGCCAAGAAGCAGCAGCGAGCGAGTGCACTTGTTGGCCCTAGGCCCCCATGCGCAATTCTGGGAATCGCGCCCTCTGCAAGCAAACACTCCCCTCTGCCTAGCTCCCCAGCAGTGAGCGCCGCGACCTGCAAAGCCTTCCTCCACACAGACTGCGTCCTTCGCCCGCGCCGCCGCCGCACCCGCCAGATTTCTGCTGCCCTGCACGCCTCCCAACCCAGCCCAGCCTGAGGCCCGCGTGCCGTGGGCCATGCAGCACAGTGCTCACAGCCACCCAGCCACGGCCCAGCCACGGCCCAGCCACAGCCCAGCACCCCCACCTCCTCCAGCAGCTTGCGGTAGGTCTCCACCACCTTGCCCTCGTCCTCTGGCGCGTCAGGGATCACCTCCACTGCAGCCGCTGCGGACGATGCTGACACAGAGGGCGCAGCAGCCGGCTCATCCGACACCTTGAGCTCCTCCACTGCTGCTGAGATGGCATCCGCATCGCCGTTTGAAGGCACCGGCGGCGCCTCAGTCTCGGCGGGTGGCGCAGCACGCACGGGCGCGGGTTCTGGCGCTGCTGCGGGCGGCGGCGGTGAGGGGGCTGCAGCTGCGACTGGCGCGGGCGGCGGCGGAGGCGGCGCAGGCTGCGGCGGCGGGGGCGGCTGTGCGATGGGTGCTGTTGTGACGAAACCCTGGCCTGGGATGAAGGATGGTGCAGTGACGCGCGGCACGAACGAAGCTGCCGCCGCTGACAGCCCAAGGCTGGGCTTTGGCAAAGCGGCCGCCCTGGGAGCGGGCGCGGGATCCTCCCACGATTCGGGAGGCTGCCCGCTCATCCTGTGGTCACCCAGCTGCGGATCAGAAGCGCTGTCCCTGCTGATGCAGCGTGCAATGGAACTCGCTGTGCTTGCGGCTGGCTCGACGGTAACGTCAGCTATCGGCGGTTTTCTTGATTAAAACGACGAGGCAAGTTGAATGCAATGCGTCCAACGTTGAACCTAGCCGGTAGCTGCTGAACACCCTTGTGAGCTGTATTGCACTGCCGATCTCCGATCGTCTGCTTTTGTGTTTTGAGCATTGGGGCATCAATGTACACTTAAATTCTTGCATCTTGACCAGTATAAAACGCGTCGCTGCGCCGTCTAGATCTGGGAGTGCTTGTGTCACCACCACGCCCATCAAACAGCGGAGAGCATCGATCCCGGCACGTCGCGCCATCGACGAGCCGAGCATCATGGAAGATGAGGCCCCAACGGGCGTGAACGACCTTTCGCCCGCCTGCTTTGTTGCCGTGTTCGGCACCCTCGGTGCCGCTGAAACAGCACGTGCGATGTGCGTGCACCCGCTGTGGGCGGACAACCTGCGCGACGACATTCTGTGGCGGCCCTACTTTGAGGAAGTGTTTGCACAGCGCGATGCACGTCTGCCCGACGAGACGGAGGCGGCATCCTACAGGTAGGGCATTGGTGTCGAGAGCATGTCCCGGTTGCCGACGCTTCACAGCTCGGCGGCAGGCAATGTTTTGCTGCGGTCTGTTTTGCCAGACAACCGCACCCGGTTTGGTGAGCAGCCCATTTCCATGCAGCTCGTCGCATTTTGGAGAGGACGTGGGTTTAGGCGTGACGTCCGTGCCTGGCGCCGTGCTGACAACGTCGGTCCACCTGGCCTCTCCTGTCTGTGATTGTGCAGGGCAGCGTTTCTGGCTTGGACGGCACACTTTGCCGAGCTGCCCTCGTCCCTGACCTCGCGTGCACTGCACATGTGGGCGCGGCTAAGGGGTTGGCTGCAGCAGCATGCGCCGTTTATTGCAGACACGCTGCGGCCGGGCGCGTCGGCGGCTGCGGTGGTCGAGGCGGAGGCGGCGCTGGGCGTAAAGCTGCCTCCGGCTCTTGTGGCCATACTCAGGTGCGCCATGGCGGCTTTGCTCGGGTGAGTACAATTTTTAGGGCTACAAGGCCAGGCTTTCAGAATCGGCTTTGTGCAGGCAGTCGCTTGGCTTGCAATGATCTTGCTGGTGACAACACCGGGCAAAGGTCAATACCCAGCCCTTGACATTTGGGAATGCATTCAAAGCTTAGCTCTTGCACCACCCTCACCCTCCAGGGTCCACGACGGCCAAGCGCTGGAGTTTGACCAGGCCTTTGACCGCTACGTCCAGTTCCGCACCCGGCTGCAGGAGCAGGGCCATGCACCAAACACCGCCAGCACCCTGGGCACGGCACCTCCGCCGGTGCCGCCCAGGTGGCACCCCAGCATGGTGCGCCTGCAGCACAGCACGGCACTCCTGCCCGCTGGCGTTGGTGCCCGCCGTTGTGAATGATGGGGCGGCTTGTCAGCCGGTCGCGTGGCCAGCAGGCCACTCCGGTGTCCCGGATCTCCTGTCCCACACAACAAGGCGCCTAACCCCTGCCACCCTCCCCTGGCAGGTGTGGGGTGTGTTTGGCGGCTACTCCTTCTACGACCACATGGCGTCACTGCGGCTGTTTCCCCTGGAGCGCATTGTGTGGTGGACTACCTTCTTCTGGTCACATGCGGTGCGCACGTGAATGTGCGTGTTGTGTGAGAAAATGTGTGTGGATGTGTGTTTCCGGTGTGTGTTTCCGGTGCGCGTGTGTGGGTCGGGGGAGGCGTTCGACAGTTGCAATAATTGCTTAGGTGCACAAGAGCCTCTTGGAGCCAGAAGCCTGAGACATTCGATGTGTTGCTGGGCACACTTGCATACACCCCCTTGGTTTCGGAAAGGGGGGAGCAACATGCTGCTACCCCTGTTGCCATGGCATTCGTCTGCAGGGGCTAGGTGCTCCCCGTAAAATCTGAATGTTGTGGCAAGCCCATCGCCTTTTGTCGCCACAGCACTTGTCCGTGCAAAAACCTCTGCTCACCACACCGGCACGTCTGCTTTACCTCAACCCCGTTGGTCGCAAACATCCACGCACGCAACACAATGCAGCCTGCGCCCATGCCGCGCCACCTGCTGATCATCGGGGCCAGCTCCAACCTGGGCAAGCTGCTGCTGCTGGACGCAGACAGCGGGGAGGTGCGCTTGGGCAGCGCACAGGACCGCATGCCCGCAGCTCCGCCCGGTCCCGATCCTGACGCGCAAGATGGCTGCCTGCGCTGGATGGAGGAGTGGGCGCGGCGAGTGGCCGCGGGATGGTATGAGGTGGACGACGTTGGCGTGGCCCCACGGCGCGCGCGCGGCATTGTACTGTTCCCTGTGGTGGAGCCGCTCATGGCCACAGCCGTCACGCGCGGCCTGCAGGTGAGGATGTGCTGATGGACACTGGGGTAGCACGCGAGCCGCACGCATGCTGCCGGTGCTGCGCTGTGCCGAGCAGTGCAGTGCTGCAGAGCTCGGCCGTTCGCATGCTGGCGCCCACTCATGCCCTTTTCTCTGCAGCTATGGGGATTGAAGTGCAGCATTTCTGCAGTCAATGTTTTACTAGCTTTGCCCCGTCTGCATTCGTTCTCACGGGGCCCACCACCACCAACCCTGCCAGGTGCGTGTGTCGTCTGTTTTTGCACCAGAGATGTGCGGTGAGGGTGGCACCCGCTACTTCTTCAGCTACAGCGTGCGCTTCCGCCTGCTCTCGGCTGAACAGCAGCAACAACAAGCGCAGCAACAGCAGCAGCCGCAGCAGCAGCAACAGCAGCAGCAGCAGCAACAGCAGCAGCAGCAGCAGCAGCAGCAGCAGCAGCAGCAGCAGCAGCAGCAGCAGCAGCAGCAGCAGCAGCAACCTCGTCGGGAGGGGCTGCAGGGCCGGCATTCGCCAGGGAACCAGCAATCACTTGAGGCGGATGCGGAAGAGCAAGACCAGCGAAGCGAGCAGCAGCGGCAAAATAGCGCGCCGAGCACCAGCAGCGGCGATGCAGGTGCTGGCACCCATGGCTCAAGCGGGGGCAGCGGTGGCCCAAGTACAAGGACGGGCGGGGGCTGCAGCGGCATTCTGGCGTGTCCCCAGCCGCTGCGTCGCTGCCAGCTGGAGTCTCGTGCGTGGCGCGTCCTGTCGGATGAGGGCGAGCTGCTGAATGAGGTGGCCGGGGAGGGGGTGGTGGGGCAGTACCCCCAGCTGGAGGCGGGAGGGCCAGAGTACGTGTACCAGAGCTGCACCCACCAGGCGGAGCAGTCGGGCTTCATGGAGGGCGGCTTTGTTTTTGTGGAGGGCACGCTGGCACGGCCCGAGGGTTCCAGCTTCACAGCGGTCTGCCCTCGCTTTGAGCTGCGAGTCCCCGAGTACATCTTCTGATGGTCGGGGCCATTGTGTCGTTGCCCCTCTGCATTGGCACTTGACACAAATGTTTTTGGCACCTTGCTCACCCCAACTTTGTGCGTGTGGTGTTCACGCAGAGCTGCTGACACACTTCACTTCATTTAGTACTGGAGCAATGCGCAATGCAATCATGAAGTGAGGTGGCCCCTGCCCTGACACACGGTGGCGGTGTGCTGATATAATGCACTGGACACAACACCCCTCCCATCCCGAGCCATCCATCAGCATGCAATTCATGCGCGGCTACAGGCGATGTAAAATGCGCGCTGCTGGCCAAAAGCGAGCTGCAGTGCTGCTGTTGTCATGCACCTGTTGGGGCGAGCCTGGCCGGATTGAAACCAGCTTATACGGTGCTGCACCACCCTGGCATACCGTATGGTATCGTTCCGGCTATCCTACAAGACGATTGTCGTTCGGTTCAGTGTTTGCACGGTGGTTATCCACGCGGCCCAGACATCCTGCGTGCAGCTAGAGCCCAGCGTTGCTGAAAGCGTGTTAGCTTATGCCGGATTGATTTGAACAAAGCGTTACCTGCACTAAAGGTGTCGCCTAGTTGCAGCGGACCCTCCCGCCACAGGCGCATGCGGCGGCGCTGCTCATCCCGTCGTCGCTGCTGCTGTCACCAACGCTGAGAGACACCCTCAACTGTTATCCTGGTGGCTGTGGGAAATCAACTACGTCCCTCAGTCACGCAGCAGCTGTCACAAATGGCCGGCGAGAGGTCCAACTCCGAGAGCCCATCGCACCTTGTGCTGCTTGTCAATGGTGAGGCCCTGGCATCGCACGGCAGCACACAACCTGTCCAGAGAGCTATGCCGTGTCCATTGGAATTATTGAATTGTCAGGTCCTTGAACCACCACAAACACACGCTGTCCCTGCGCCACACCCTGCCAGGCATATGGGGCGGGCAGTGGGACTGGACCCGATTTTCGGCTCGCCTGGTGTCGCACCCAGCGGCCGGCCCCATGCTGGTGCATGCGAGCGGCGCCAACACCGCGCTGCAGACAGGCGATGGTGCGACTCGGTGACATTAATGGGAGAATTATGAACTGCAATCTTCTCCGGGTAGCTGCCCAAGCCGTCCGTCCAGCGCACAACCTCACAACACCCCTAATCTGATCAGGCATTGATGTCTGCGGACAGCGGCTCGCTGTTGAAGTGCAGAGTGTCCTGCAGGATCATCCGTCCCTGAAGGAACTGTCCATAGTGGCGCACAGGTGGGTGGGCGGGCGCTGCGGGGGCACGTGATGCGCACCATCACCTGCGCACATTGAAGTAATGGTTTTGGCTGTGAAGCCGCATGCTGGCTCAGCCCCGCTCTATCAACTACCATTGCTTGCGCAGTATGGGGGGCCTGATTGCGCGCTATGCCCTCGGACTGCTGGCGGCAGCACCGGGCGAGGATGGGGCGCCGACCCCCCCTGGCTCACTGCTGGGGGGTCGGGTGCGAGCACGATCGTTCGTGACGATAGCAACGCCCCACGTGGCGTGCAGCAGCAGCTGTACAGAAGAGGTGGGTGCTTGACAGGGGCTGTTGGCCGCGTTTTCCGCTCACCCATGCCAGGCGCCTGCCAAAGATAGGCCCCGCGGCCATTCTAACGGCCCTGCACCCTCCCACCAGCCGCCGCACCTCCCCTCACCTCCTGCAGGCCATGCCGGGCAGCCTGCTGATCCGGCTGCTTTCCGTCCTGCACGCCAGGGGTATCGTCCGCTTTCCTCGGGATCATCCCCACCATCCGCCCCACAAGCAGGGTGACCTGCACAAACATCATCATCATCATCATCAGCAGCAGCAGCAGCAGCAGCAGCAGCAGCAGCAGCAGCAGCAGCAGCAGCAGCAGCAGCAGCAGCATGTTGTCATCAAGGTGCACGCGCTGCTAGCAGGCCCCACACAGGCCATGTTCAATCGCAGTGTGTCACAGCTCATCGCAGTGGATGAGCACCCCCTGCCACCAATTCGCCAGACAGGGTATGTTGCAGCGAGCACCCCTCAAGCGGGGCCGCAGCCCTCAGAGATGCACACTGGCCCCAAGGTGGCGGTTCCACGGCTTGGCTCGTGCAGCGGTGTTGAGGACATTGCCTTTGCACCCCTCTTGGATGTGATGGTCTCCGACTGGCCTGGCTTGGCATTCATGTCAGGTTTGGCGGCATTTGAGACCCGGGCCGTCTTCTCAACGGCAGGTGCGCGGGCCCTGCAGAGCAGGGCAGTGCCTTTCAGGCATGTGAAGTGCGATTTCTGAGCTAGGCCGCCCTCCCAAAGAGAGCTCCAGTGCCCTATTGCTGAAGCAATTGCAATCATCCACCATTGCATTTGCCTGCAGGCGGCGACCACCTCATCCCCTGGGCATCCAGCAGCCTCAGGCACACCTGCGACCTGCCATGCCACCCTGCGCTGCCCTGGTCGACCTGGCAGCCACAAGTGGTGGAGGACAGGCGGCCCCACCTTACGACCACTGGCCGCAGCAGCAGCTATGCAGCTGGGAGGCCACAGGAAGACAGAGGCGCGAGCAGCAGCAGCAACAGCGGCAGCGCCGACGGGAACAGCCCTGTTGTGAGCCGGTCTGTTGAGACGGTCGTTGAGGCGGCCTTTGGCGGCTCGCGACGGCGGGGCGGAGTCAGCGGGCGCCTGGACGCACTGCAGTCGCTGCCCTGGCGGCGGTTCGACGTAGTTTGGCCGTGGTGCCACCACACATTTTTTGCGCACAACGCTATTCAAGGCAACGGACCTACTGGCCACCTGGGTTCCATGGTCACACAGTTCATCATCTCGCTGCTGCTAGAGCTCAGCGCTGATGAGGGCGTCCGCTCCCTGTAACAACCGCCCTGGGCTCCCTTGTGCTTCAGTCTTCAAGAGTGGGACGGGCCCATGCTGACTGCATGTGCTGTTCACACACAAAAAACTTGGGAAGAAAGAACATGTGAATAAAGAGCTTGTGAGTAATGCAACCCATAGCGGCGATGACAGTGCAGCAATAAATTGCAGGGGCGCAAGCTGTGCAGTTGGGGACTGGCACTAGTCGCTCAGTAGCGGCGGCCGCATCCTGTTGGCCCCAGCCCAAACAATACAGTTCTGCGCTACTTTGCCGATTGCATCTGCCGATGGTCGTGGAACTTATGATAATTGAGTTCGCACAGCACACAGACGAACCCATATCGCCGCAACCCAGCGCACGATCGCATCGACGTGGCCAAGATCAAAGCGGCCATGTGCTCGCCGTAGAGGCCGTCAACAACGCGTATGGGCCCCCTTTTCAAGAAAAAAGGCGTCATTCGGTTGTTTTCAGATTCTCACGAAAAGTGAACCCCAGTTGGGCGCAGATTCACACTGCAAGTGCGCAGCTGGCGCATATCAGCGTACGCTGACGTGCGCAGTGGCGCATCGGGATGGCGCCCTTGTCACCACTGCAGCAGCAACGTGCTGGGCGGGAAGACAGCCAGGTGATGTCTCACTCACGGGTACGGGCAGGGATACCCCACTTGCGTTGAGCACTCTGCTGCTTGCCGCTCACCCGCCACTATGCCCCTGGTGAGCCGTCGACGGCAGACTACAACTCCCGAGGTAGTTGAGACATACTTTCGTCTCACATCCAATGGTGGCTGCGCCAAAAGAACAACCCGCGGCGGATTCGGCCCTACTCCTGCTGCCATCGCGCACGCTCCAACTCCTGCAAACCAAACAAGCCGCCATAAACGTCTCTCTTGTTGCTGCAGAGGGTAGCATGGTTGGTGGAGGATGCCGGTATCTCGGATCCCTACTACAGCCAGGACACAGCAGAGCGTGCCTTTCGCAGCGCCTGCTTCACGCTCAGCCTGGGAGTTCTTGGCAGGTGTGTGTGTGTGTGTGTGTGTGTGTGTGTGTGTGTGTGTGCGCGTGTGTGTG